AAAAAAAAAAAAAAAAAAAAAAAAAAAAAAAAAAAAAAAAAAAAGGAAAGCAAAACCTCAGACAAGGAGGACCACGAATAAGAAGGGATTACTGTACTAAACACCTAAGTGCTTTCAGTGATCATTTTATGCTGGTACAAAAGGGGTCTGGGAAAGGAGCTCAGTGGGTGGCAGTTTTATGTTCTTTGGGACTATCACTCATGCCAGGAGTGAAGCAAGCATGGCTTCTTTGCCTCTCCCCACTCCCTAATCCCCACATTTTTCCAGGAGCTGGGGCTTCCTCTCCTTGATAACCAATGCCACTTCAAAATATCCTCTGCTGTAGAATTTTAAAAACACATCCTGCTTATTTGATGCTAGATAATGCTTCTGCCACTCTTTTTGGTCTGTGTCATTTGTCATTTACTTTCTGGTCACTGAAAACCATGGCATTTAATCTCGCTCTGCTCCAAGTCCTGCCACCATCCCAAGTGACCGCAGAGTCCAGGTGCACGACAACTTTCTTCCAGATCTCCAGCTATCTTCTGTCTGCCACTGGAAACACTCCGCTCATTCTCCACGCAGCTCTTTCAGGTGTTACCCCTCCCCTCAAGCATCCTTACTCTCATCCCTTCGGTGTAAACAAATCTTGCCTCTGATGTTCCAGAGAAAGTAATGGTCATCAGCCTCTCTGTGCTCTGCAGACACACGGCTCACACTCATGCTTATCTCTACCTCTCCATCTCATGGCAGAAAGCAGCTTTCCTGCTGGTAGAGCTAATGCTGTGGACACGCAGCGCGCCATCCCCGCCTGCCTCCTCAAGGACTTCGCTGCATCAGCATGTTGGTGCCATTATCTGACATCTTTTGCAACCTCTCCATCTCTCCTGCTTTCTCCCAGGCTCCTGATCCTTAAAGACAAACATCGTTCTCTTGACAACGCGTCCCTCCAGTCTCCCTTTCCTTTGTAGCCAAGCTTCTTAAATACAGTCCACATGTGTACCCCCCACTCCCTTGCTTTCCATCCTCAGCGTGATCCCTGTCTTCAGCACTCAAATGCACCATCAAGGTCACCAGTGGCCTCCGTGACTAAATCCGACAAGTGCTCCCTCCTCAGTCCTTGGAGAGCAAAGCCTTTCTTTGCTCAGCCTCTCTGAAGCATCTGACATTGCTGAGATCCCTCCCTCTCCCTTGTTGAAATCTGATTCTCTCTTAGCTTCTGGGAAATAATCCTCTCCTGGTTTTCCTCCTGCCTCTCCAATCTTGCCTCCAGTTTCTCCTGGCTCCTCTGCTTTACCTGGAAGCCAAAAGGTGGTGCTTCCCAGTGCTTCTCTCCTTCACTTCACCCACTCCCAGGACCTGCAGATGACACCCAGATTTGAATACAGATCTTCTTTGGGTGCTAAGCTTGGCCAGTCCAGGTCTTTATTCGGTATCTCCACTCAGCTGACATCTCAAATCCAGCCAACCCCAAATAAGGCTTGCTGTTTTCCATCCCCAGATATCCTGCCATCCTCAAGCTTCCAGTTCAGGTATCCAGGCCAGAGACAAAGGGCTCTCTGACTTGTTACTGCTTACCACCTGCCGCTCCCACAGCTGTGTGCATCAACTCCGTGAAGACTCACAACAGCCCTGGGAGGCGGCTCTACAGTTTTATCTTACTCAGAGACAAAGAAAGTGAACTAAGGAGAGATTAAATCACTCACTCAAGGTCATATGGCTAATAAGTGATGGTTATGGTTTGAATCATAAATGAACCCCAAAGGTGCGTATGTCAAAGGCTTAGTTCTCAGGTGTGGCACTCTTGGGTGGAGGTATAACCTTCAGGAGGTAGGGCCTAGTGGAAAGAAGTTAGCTCTTAGGGACACAGATGGCATACTGGAACCCTGGCTCCTTCCTCTTCTCTTGCTTCCCAGCCACTGGTTGGTGAACAACTTTGCTTGTGCAACGTGCCCCTTCCATGATGTTCTGTCTTGACAACATCCAAAAGCAACAGGCCAAACAACCACGGATGAAACTCCTGTGAGACAAAATCAACTTTTCCTCCTTACACATGGATTATCTCAGTCAGGTATTTTGACACAGCAATGGAAAGCCGACTAGCACAGTGGTGGGCCTGGGATTTGAACCTAGAGCGCCTGGCACCACAGTCTGGGCTCCTCCCCACAAGCCCTATTGCCTGGTGGTAACAAAGTCTGTGAGTGATGCCTTCAACATCACTGTCCCCCTGGAATACTGCATTCTGAAGATCTAGTTGGCTTTAGCCTCGTCTCCTAATAATTATTGAATTACTATAGGTCTCCATAGCTTCAGAATAAAGTCAGAGTCCTTAGGTGGTTTAGAAAAGCTTATGGATTTCCCCCTCTATACTCCTATATTCATTCCTTGCCTTTTCCTGTTACCTACTAGCACAATAGAATTATGGTGACCACATAATTTATCACATTAACTGGGATCATCTGAGAGTGAACAAGGAATAATTTATAATTAAGCTGGGCCAACAGGCAAAAATCAGGACAGTCCCAGACAAACGAGGATATATAGTCAGTCTACCCATCGACCCCTTGTGTAGAAAAACTCACGGTCCTCTAAATACGCTGTGTTTTTTCACCCCTGGGCCTCTGAACACACAGTTCTCTCTGCCAGAGAAAGCCCATTTATCCTTTCAGGAGCGCTTCCCTGGTGCCACTTCTCCTGGGTTACACAAGATACCTCTCCTCTGTGGCCTCATGACACTCTGCTGCTGCTCTTGCCAAGAGAATGGCAGCCAATGTGACCAGCAGTGGGGTGAGCTAAGCAACGTACCGGATAATCATAGGAGCGATGGAGTCAGTCTGCTTGGAGTTGGGTACGATCCAACTTACTATGCTACTCAGCTGCTTTGTGCTTTCTCTTCTCTGTAAAAGTTCTTGTGAAGACTATACGAGCAGGTCTGCATAAAATCCGCTGGTCAACATGGATTAAGCACGCATCATGATTATTTACTGAGCATTTACTACATGCCAGGCTTTACTGAGCACCTCACACGCACAACTCATGTTGAGATTCACAATAGTTCTGTGGAGCAGGCATTATCAATTTAATTTCACACCTGGGGAAACTGGCTATCAAACTACCTGTCCTGAGTAACAAAGTAACACTGCTAAGTGCGGGCACACACTTGGAAACAGGCCCTCTGCACCCACAGCATGTACAGCCACCTTGTTTTCCTACTTGGACTCTCTAAGCTGCCTTTTGGACTCTCTGAGGTAGCACCTTTTGCTTCTGTGTCCTCAGCCCAAGCCCCAGGTCCGGCCCAGTCCTGCGGCCTCTTACAGAAAACATAGCGGACAGGGAGGAGTGCTGTCAGGGAGACAGGGCCTACGGACATTAAGGAAGAGGAATGGGAAGGTGTCTCTACCAGGCATGGGTGAAGAGACACCTGGGATTGCCTTCCACGCTAAAACTCTGGTTTGAAAAATTTATTTATGTGGGAGAAGGAAGGAAAAGAGTATGTGTTTACAGGAAAGCAAACTTCTAACCATTTCCAGATTCCTTTCTGGAGAAATAGCTACAGGAAGGGCAGCCCAGGATGCCATAAAAGTTCCATGGGCACTTAGAGTAACTGAGCAATCATACAGATGTATGAGTGCGTGCACACCCATATGTGTGTGTGGGGGATCTAGATGGGGTTGGCATATCAGTCCCCATTTCTGAGGCTAAAAAGCAGCAAATTAACAAAAAATATTCCCACCAGGCCTCACACTGCTAAAGAGTAAATACAATTATCCTTAATCAATACAAGCCCTTCAGCAGTAGCTAATGGCTGTCCTGGGTTTAATTGTTCACAGCAGTTGGGGGTGGGTGGGTATTGAGGAGCTAAGTACTCCAGCTTCCCTCTTGCAGGGCAGGGTGTCCAGGAGCTGGGGCGGATCCCCAGGTCAGCAGGGGGTGGGGAGTCAGAGGCAAAGATCGGCCTTTTGGAATTGGCCCCAGATTGGTGGACCTGTGGCTAGCATCTCATGGCTCCTCCTCTGGCTGGCCGACAAGGCCTGGGGCCACCCTCCTCCCAGCATAGGCCTTCTGCAGGCCCCTGAGAGGTGAAGGCAGGGAGGAACCAAACCACTCTTCTCTGGCTGTCTTACAGCTTCGAAGGCAGCCTGTCTCTCAAGCACCAAGAGGTTACAAGTGACAGGAGGGCTTGTGCTCAGCCCATCTAGTGACTCCAACTCCGAGGTGAGCATTTTCTGTGACACAAAGGGGAAGTCACAGGGAGCAGGGGTCCTGACCTGTGGGTCCTCAGCAGACAGAGGCTGAGCCTCAGCACCTGAGCTCAGTCTGCTGTGTGGGTGGTGGCGCTCCTGATTCAGGGCCCAGTTGCCAGGAGGGGTGTGGCTGTGCATGGGTGTCTCAGGACCATCTTCTATTTTCCACAAGGTCCAGTGGAGGTGCACATAGTGAGGGCTGTGTGGGTTAACTGCTCTTTCCCACGTGCTTAATCCCTTTCTGGTCTCCTCTCCTGTGTGGATCTCTGCCCTGGGGTGACTCTCAGGTGTCTGCATAGCTGCAAAAAATGGACTCACATACTCTGAAGCCAAATCCAAAGGCTCCAGAAACCCTGTGGTCCATCCCGCAGGCACTATACAATCCTTGAGTATCTGGCTTCTAAGCAGGCTGGGCATAGCCTTGGGCCTATACCAGCACAAGTCCCGTTTCTGCTCCTTCTTCTTTCTGAGACGGTTGGGCAAATCACTTCACTCATCCCCAATTCTGTTCCTTTTGGTCGGACGTGGACAGTAAGAGTCTCAACTCTGCAGGCTTAGTGTGCAGAACGATGCTGAGGACACAGGACACACGTTCTACAGGAAGTGCTGGCTGCCCTCTTCAGAGATCCTGCCGCTGTCTGTCCCCCATGCTCTTCCCCTTTCCCCCTGTGCTCTCTTAGTCTCCAGTCTGGCCCTCTGTTCTTGCTGCCCTTCCCCTTCCTTCCCTCCTCTCCAATTCCAGGTGCTTTCTTGCAGCTCCCTCCTCAAGACAGAGGCCACAGGAAGGGCAGGCAGCAACTGGTGCTCCTGCTTGCTATCTAGGCCAGCCATGCGCAAGCCGCCCTGGAGACCAGCGTGGTATTGATTAGTTGATTGGAGCTGAACACTGTCTAGACATGGTGAACCTCCTGCAATGGGGCTTGCTTGCTACAATTCTGCCAGGGCCTCCTCAGTGACTCTCAGCACTTACACCCTTTTCTCCAGGGAGCAGAAGACGAGGCTCTGACCTGGCAAGCTGCTAGCTGTGAGGTGGCCCCCAGAAGCAGTGCCCAGACTCCAGGAATCGTGACGAGGGGCTGTCACGAGGACCAAACTGGGGGCCCCCCACAAGTGTGGCTTCCTCCCTCAGCTCTGGGGTGGATCTCCTCCTTACCGAGGACACAAGGAACCTCACCTCTTTGCAAGGAGCTCCTGGCCAGGGCCCAGTGCCTCTCCCCTGTGGGTGGGGCAGTCTGTAGGGACAGTCCCAAGACAAGCTCTGGGATGCCTATTTTTAGAAGGGGAAGGCAGAGAGTTCAAACAACCAATTAGAAGCTCAGCCTCCAGGCCACTGTGTACAATGATACAGGGTGTAGGGGCTGAAATCTGTGTGGCTGCCCATGAAGAGGGAGGAAGCCCCTTTTCTAATTCACACAGACACATTTAGCTCAGCCAGACCCTGCTCTACTTAGAGTCTTTCTGCCTGGAAGCCTCCTTCCCTGCTTGGACCAATTTCTTCTGAGACTAGCCTCCTTCTCTGGTCCCTCTGTTCTTTTGGGATCCTATTTCCTACCATGCTACAGGGTTCCCAAGCTGAGGTGCAGCATCCTCACTGTGGGCCCTCTATACCTTCCACAGAATCTCCCCGCTGAGCCAGCTTTTGATTTTCCGAAGGCAAAGGAGAGTCTACCCTCTTGCCTAAGGAACCCACCAGAGATCCCGTTGCTCTTGTCAACTCACTGTGCTCCTTCCTGCTGCAGATTAGCACTGTTAACTGTCATCCTTTCCTCTGCATAGCTGAAGGATAGATACCAGCTCTTCCCCCACCCAGCCCCTGCCTGAGAATGTCATCTTCCTGGTCCAGTCCTAACAGGCCCCACATAGAATTTCAAATCTTCTGGCTCTGCTGGTTGTCCTGTTCTCTGCTCCCTGATTAGAGGAGCCCAAATTGCCTGAGTGCTAAGAATAGCAGCATCATCAGTGACTAAACCTGACAGACAGCACCCTGTTCCCCCACCCCCGCTTCCCAGTGTGCCTGGGGACACATCCCTGGAGTCTCTGCTCCCTCAGGAATCACTGCTGGCTGCAGCACCATCTGGAGACCCCTCACAGCTGACCTGCGGGTGCCTCCTTCCCTCCGAGCAGGCTGGCAGCACTGGCTCCCTGGCTCTTTTCCTGCTGAGAGAGAGGCCAGCCAATGGAGGGGGTGCGCTTGACCAGTGGGCTTTGTCACAGTTGCTCTGGGAGCTCTGGACGTAGAGATGGGGTCACAGCCTGGGCATGAACAGAACCTCTAGGAGAGAGGGAGGCAAGGTGGTGGGCTGCGGGCCCTCAGCAGTTATGATGGGGCTGGTTCCGTTTTGGGGCACTGGGAGCCACGGGGCCAGGTGGCTTTCTCATGTTTGTCCTCAACTCATGGTAGCCCCCTTTTGGGAGAGTGACCAGTGACATTGCTGGGGGCAGAAGAAGGCTGGTTTCCTGTCTAAAGGCCCACATGTCACAGTCACATAAGTCCAAGTGACAGTTACTAAGACTGTCATATGCAGAGAAACTCTGAGTGGGGTTTATTCTCCATAACCAGGGCTTGGCACTTGGGAGGTTTATCTTCAATGTTGGGACACCTTATGTGCCTCTCATTTGTATTTTTGTGAAGCTCCTATATGGTCCAACTGATTATCTCCCTATAATCAGTCCCACTGAACTTACAGCCCCCATCCTGCCATTTTCTATCTGAAAACTTCTAATCATCCTTAAAAACTCATCAGAGTCATAACCATCCCCCTAAGTCTCCCATGAGCTGCTATTCTCCCCACACAGTGTAAATAATTATCTTTTCTCTCTGTACAATGAAAAGGCTTTTCCTGTGATAGACGTATTTCAGACTTACAACGTGCTTTTGCTTGTCTGTTTCCCCTTTAGGGCAGAAATCGTGCCTAACCATCTTCTGAGTCTAGCTCAGTACCTGGCGCACAGTAGGTGTGCAGCAAATGCTAAGTAAAGGAGTGCAACGGAAACCTTCCCCCTAGGATCCAGGCTGTTTGAGTCTAAGGACCGTGTATTTTCTAACAGACGGGACCGTGAAGTGCTGGGCACAGAAGTGCTCACACACCTCTGCGGAATAAAAGGTGTCACTATTCCCATTCTGCTCCCAAACTCATCCGGACTCAATGAACACCGCAACTGTCTTATCACCAATTCCTCCTGGCAGCTTCAGTTACTCTCTGCTCTGTTCAAGCCTCTGTAAACACGCCCGCATCATGGTATTCATCCTGCTGTATCACAGCCGTTTGTTTACATATCTGTCTTCCACACTAGACATGAGTTCCTTGGGGAGAAGCCTGCCTCTCATTCTTCTTGTTCAGCAGGTTATGCGGCGCTCTGTGCCTCCGTGGGGAGTGAATCACAACCAGGACGGCTGTGGGGCCAGGAGCAGCTCACAGCTGGACAGGGACCCCAGGGAGAGGCTGATGTGGCAATGGCTCTGGAGTTTCTGAGGAGAAGTCTTGCCAGAACCACTACTCTTGTGCCGAGGGCCACTAAGTGCTAGGAAAGTTGACAAAGATGGCCCGCTGCTTGGCTTGGCTCCCTATAGCCTCCCTTGTTCCTGCCCTCAAGCTTTCAGGAGTATTTGACCCATCAATCTCCACAGCTGCCACATCCAGACAACTGAGTATTGTGGAGGTCACAGAATATGTGGGTCACGGGCTCAGATGTCCACTTTGGAAGAGTAATGGAGCGCTCCTGTGTCCTGTTCTCATTCTAACCATCCCCTGCTCAGCATGAATCAGGTGCCTAGTATGTCTAAGTCCCTGTTCCAGATGCTGAAAGCACTTTTCTGGCAGGAGTGCCTGAGCGGTCTGGGGCTGTCATGATTTGAAGGAAGGCTGGCAGGGAGGAGGTGGGGAGGGGCTGCATAAGCAAAGCAAGTCTAGGAAAAATAAATTACGAATGTCAGGAAAATAGTCTTTTAACATCTTCAGGGCAGCCTACAGCTGTCTGAGGTGCTGCTCGGCAGCATGCCTGGTAGGCCAGGCGTCCTTTCAGGGGCCGGCAGGGAGGGAGCCCAAGCTGCCCACGCTCGCCAGTGGGTGTCTTCTGCATGTGCCCAGCTTAGCCGGCTTCCAGCCTGGTGCTGGCCTCTGTCCCCAGGACCTCGTTTAAGAGGTAATCATTTTAATAAATATGAATTGTGGGACTCTCGCCTGAGAGCAAAACTGAAATCAAATCCGTAATCCAGACAGAGGGGAGTGTAGCCTCACTGGGTTAATTATGCACACACCAGGCATATGGCGGCGCACCTCCAGACCAACAGGCGGAGAACGTTCTCTGGGATGCAATTAGTTCCCGTGCATGCATAATAAATGAGGCAGTGCCTCCAAAAGAAAAATAAAATTACTGAAGTCATAACGTCACACCAGTGTAATTACAATCACTGAGCCTCACCACTTGGTTTAAGTAACATTTATTCATCTACTGTTGTGCAGGTGGGCTTGCCTGGCAGTGGCCTTCTCTTCAGCCTCATTCTGCCCAGTGCTTCCCCCTTTCCCAGGCACCTGCTCTCCCACGGCATCCTTTCCCTCCCAAAGTCCTGAACACCACTCTGCTTAAATTGGCAAGTAGAGCACTACTCTTGAATAATAACAGCCCAAATTCAGTGAGCTGGGCATGCTCTCTGCATTATCTACAAATCCTCACTGCAAAGCTACAAAGTAGGTAATACTATTAACCCCACTTTTCAGCAGGGAAAGCGAGACTTCAGAAGTCTAGTAAGCTCGCGAGGCGTCCAGACCGTCCAACCACATGCTTCCTGCCATTCTCTAGGGACTTGGAACTCCAGTTTCAGGTCTCCAGCACCGGCGCTTGGGGCATGTCACTTTTTGAGTCATTTCACCTTCCCTCTCTGGAAAGATGTGATAAGAAAACTTACCTTCAGGGTTGTTCTGACGTAGAGATTAAGGGAAACCTTTTATGTGAAAGGGACAGACAGAGAGCAAACCCCCAGTCTGTGTCTGGCAGAAATGCACAATGTCTGAGAATCTGGCTCTGGAATAAGAACCACTTGGGGTTGAAGCCCCTCTCATTTCTCCAGCCTCTCCCCGCTTCCTTCACATGTTGGCTCAGCTGTCACCTGACGGGGCCTGTCCGGACACCCTCCTCTGGTCGCAGTGCCCATCCCTGGTTCTCTATGGCATCATTCTTGGCTATTTATCCTGACACCTCCTTTTCACACACCATTCACTGCACTTTCTTTGCTTATTCCTGTGTCTCTGGAGCTAAGCTGCATGTGGCGGGGTGGTTGTCTTATCTGCACCGTTACGGCTGTATTTCTAGCACCAAGGACAGTGCCTGGCACTGAGTAGGCGCTTGTAAACATTTGTTCACAAATGACCAAATGATAGACCTCGGCTTCCTCCTCTGTAAAATACCACCTTCTTGGATTTTTGTGTGGACTACAGGAGACAGCTGCCCAAGTGCTTAATACAACATGTGACATGTGGCACTTGCTCCAAACATGATGGTTATTAGATAAGACTTTGCTTATTAGTCAGCATTATAATGCCAGTGCTTGGGACAGTGACTATTGTAAGGTCGACACTCACTCAATATCTGCAGAATGGACTGTTGTTCAATGGTTCTTTGAGTCTAAAGAGGTACAGATCTGTTGGAACCTGAGAATTGTGATGTTCCTATAGGCAGCACCGTAGCCCACAGAGGATGCTCACACCATGGGCATCTGACAAGGCAGGCAGGAGGAAGCTGACTGTTTAGGAGCCCAGGGTTGGGGACACCAGATGAAGTATGAGACACCCAGATAAATTTGAGTCTCAGATAGATACAAATACATTTTAATGTAATTATGTTCCATGAAATATTTGGGACATACTTATACTGAAGAAAAATCTAACATCCTGTATTTTTATTTATTAAATCTGAAACATTAGCTGGGGATGTATTTTCAGGGCATCCCAAGAAGATAGAGGAACCATCTCTGCCTCTGCTGTGGCCTGGGTGCTTAGATAGAGACACTGTTGAGCTTCGAGGCCCAGTGAAGGCAGAAGAAGCATGATGTATAGGCAGTGGGGTGGATGTCCAGTAGATGGGTCTGAGGGCATGAAGAGGAGGCAGTGGCCTGTGCCACTGGGCAGGGGCTGGTGTTCCAGGGAGCAGGCACAAAAGGGAAGAACACAGATGCCCTCCTGGGACAAAGATATCCCTGCTCTTAGTTGTGTTATAAAAATTCTTCCACATTTGCAAGTAGCATCACTAATCTCAGAGTAGGTGTCCCTTCCCCTTGAGAGAAGAGGGTTAAGACTGAGTTACAAAAGTACTTCGTGCATTGCCCAGTGGGTTCAAGGCTGAGCCGGTGCTTGAGCTTTGGCCTCCTGTTTGAAACGAGATGAATGAGTGCCTGATCTGTGCCATTAGTGAAGCGCCTGGAAGATCCAATAACATTTCTTAGGTCTCTCTCCGAGTCCCTTGCTGAGTTCCGTGGGCACAGTCAGTTGGCTGTAGTTTTGTGCTGTGTTTAGTCCTGTAGCCCGCGTGCTCACCCCACTATGCTCTGTCTCCTTCCGGGGCCACTGACTGCTGTCAACACCCTTGGATCTAGGCTTGGAAAGCTGTGCAAGGTCAAGCCTAGACTGAAACCCCAGAACAGGAGCCAATCCCCCGCCCTAGCCCAGCTCCAAACCTGGGCCACTCCTCAATTCTGTAGCAGCCCAGGATGCCAAGTTGGGCCCCCTCCATGCCTCCCCAGCCTGACCCACTCCCTGCATTGGGGGCAGGCCTGCCTGTCTCCTTCCTAAGTATTAGAGTTCCGGGTGCCTGCTATCCAAACTAATCTTACCCCACTTTGAGGGTCAGGGAGGCCTGTTCTAGCAAGTGAAACCCAGAGGTGACTCTAATCACCAGCCTGTAATTACTTTTCACACTCTGGTTACATCTTGATGGTCCTCCTCAGCAGAGTGTGTATTTTATGCTAATGACCACATAGTGGGCTGGTGTGGGAAGGCTGAGGACAGATCTTTTATAGCAAGGAGGCTGCTGGGACCTTCTTTCAAACTGAGAATTTTGGAGCTTTGAGGTTTGCATCCTCGTGCAATGGGCTGGAGTCACTGTCTTCTCCCCATGGGTCTGGAACAACCATCCCTCTCTCCTTAGACCTTTCCCATATCCTTCTGCTGCATCCACCAGACAAATGGCACCTCAATCAGGGCACCTGCAGAGATGTGGGTGGGATGTGCAGGAGCACAGAGGAGAGTCCACCAGGCTGAGGAGACACCAGCTGTTTCCAACTAAAGCAGTGACGGGGAACCTTTTAGAGATGAGGGCCCAAGCTACAACCCCAAACCCATGTATTTATCAAAAAATTTCAACAGTGCAGTTAAACCTGAATACTGAGGTTTTTGTTTAGAAAAAAAAACTGCTATGTTAACATCTTTTGTCTTAAAAGAAAAACAATACGTGTGCCATGGTTCACCACCACTGAACTACAGGCTAAATACAGGATGAGGGGAAGGAGTGGCACCAAAACCTAGAAAAAGAGAATCACGCGACCAAAAGAGGAGCTTTGGCCTTCAGTTTTGAGACAGAGCCAGTCCGAGATGACTCACAGGAAGGCAGCCAAGTGAACTCCTGGCCTCACTCTCCTCCCTCCCTCCAACCTTGCCAGGGCTCCCTATTAGCTAAACCCAGCCAGAAGCCAGCTGGAGAGGGACAGTGGTCAACCTGGTGGAGGCTTCCCTGGCACCTGCCCCACAAGCTCTCTCTGAGGGTACCTGAAAGGGTCACTCCCATACTCTGCAGCTGTCCCGGGATGAGGAATGAGAGAGGAGAGCAGGGCCTTTCTGCTTTCTTTATTAGGTAATGCGAGAGCACGTCTAGGGTATGGGGTGTTTTCAGGAGTCCCAGAAAAAGAAACATAGGCCTTGATCTGAGAAGCCTTGGAACCACGCGCTGTGTGATCTCGGCAGGTCACTCCCCCTCTCTGGGCCTGTAATCGAACCTCTAAGTGGTATGGCTAACACTGAGCACGTGGGAGCATAGAGTGACAGCTCACAGTGCAGCGCAGGGCACAAAGTAGGACTGCAGTAAGAGGACCTGAATCTCAGATGGCAGCAGGAGATCACCAGGTGACCTAGGGTCCCCTCCAGCCTCTCGGGCCCTTGCACATGGTGGATCCTGGGCCTCTGCCCAGCCCGGGGTCAGCTGTAGGAAGTGAGCTGCCCGCCCCATCTGCCAAAGGCAAC